GTGGCTGAGTAATATTCCATTGTATATATATGTACCGCATTTTCTTTATTCCTCCACCAATGGACATTTAAGTTGCTTCCAAATCCTGGCTATTGTAAATAGGGCTGCAATCAACATTATGATGCTTGTATCTTTTTGAATTATGGTTTTCTCCAGATACATGCTCAGGAGTGGGATTGCTGGGGCATATGGTAGCTCTGGGGGCTTCCCAAGTGGTGCTAGTGGTAAAGAACCTGCCTGCCAATGCAGGAGACTAAAAGACATGGGTTCAATCTCTGGGTTGGGAAAATACCCTGAAGAAGGTCATGGCAACCCACTCCAGTACTTTTGCCTGGAGAATTTCATGGACAGAGGAGCCTGGTGGACTATGGTCTATATGGTCACAAAGGGTCAGACGCCACTGAAGCGACTTAGCACATACACACTACGCTATGTTTAGATTTTTAAGGAACCTCCATACTATTCTCAACAGTGATTGTACCAATTTACATTCTCACCATCACTGTAGGAGGGTTACCTTTCTTCCACATCCTCTCCAGTATTTATTGTTTGTAGATTTTTTAATGATGACCATTCTGAGCAGTGTGAGGTGATAGCTCATTATAGTTTTGATTTGCATTTCTCTAATATTTAGTGATGTTGAGCATCTTTTCATGTATTTTTTGACCATCTGTATGTCTTCTTTGGAGAAATGTCTATTAAGGTCTCCTACCTATTTTTAGATTGTTTTTTTTTTTCTTTTTTTACATTGAGCTGCATGAACTGTTTGTATCACAAGGGAGATTAGTCCCTTGTTACTTGTTTCTTTTGCAAATATTTTTTTTTTGCATTCTGAGAGTTGTCTTTTCACCTTAATGATTTACTTCTTTTCATTGAAGTTCTTATAAAATCATATAATAAGCATATCCTGGCTTTCAAAATGCTTTTCAAAAGATGACTAAAGTCAGTACTGAAAACAAATACAAGCCTACTTTTTACTAAGATGCCAAGTTTGTCTTTAGAAAGAACTTCCAAAAGTCCTTTTTAAAAGAGAAAAAAAGAAAACATTACAAACAGCACAGGGAGCCCAGCCTGGTGCTCTGTAATGACCTAGAGGTGTGGGATGTGGTTGGGAGTGGAGGCAGGTGCAAGAGGGAAATGATATATGTATACGTATAGCTGATTCACGTTGTGCTTCAGAAACTGACACAACATTGTAAAGCAATTATACTCTAATTAAAACTAAAAAGAAAGCCACAGAAACTCTCTAGTAAATTTTTTAGACCACGGACATTTGCATACCTCAGGAGAGCCACAATCACAGTCTTCACCTACTTCCACAAGTTGGTTCCCACACACTGGTTTTGTCATATTTTTAGGAACCAGTGCTTGCAATAGGCATCTTGGCTTTTGAGATAGCATGTATTTTTTAAAATGTGAGCGACTGCGTGTACTGAAATCCTTTGGGAATTTTGAACTGTAACCAGAAGAAAAATGAGAAATACCATGTTATATACAGTGATAAGTTAACATAAGAATGTGACTTGTCTAACTAGTTCAACAAAAATTCCAAATTTAGTATAAATGAACCATGTTATATGTGGAGTGTGAAAGAGCATGAATACTACTCTCATTGGGAAATTCTTTTTCTGGATACCCAGTTGTAGGAGTTTGAAGAATTTCAATTCCTGTGCAGATTTAATTCTGCCCTAAATGGCAGCAGTGACGAGCTTCACCATTTGTTATCATTCACTCATCTCACTATTGAGGGCTGAGAGGTAAGTGATAATAACAATGAATAGTGAAAGGAAATAATCGCAGACTTAGAGGTTCAGTGGAGTTACTTAACTTCCTATTTATGAACACTTCAACAGTAAGATATGTTTATTGATTTTTCTATCTCAAATCCTTGCAAAGTGTTTAGAATTAAAAGGCAACATTAATAACATAAAAATGAATGGATTGGTGATAGGGATTTATAAGCATGTTCTCATCTTAATTATATAAATATTTTTAGAAAAGACTGTTTTAAGCTAAAATTATTTTAAGTTAGAGTAACATGGTCACTATACTTATAAACTCTACCTTGGCATATTTGGAAATCTTAAATAATGAGTTCTGCTAGCTGGTAAATCCTGTACATCAAGAAGCTAGAGCATTAATTAGCTGGAAACACAGCCATTACATTAAAAAAATGTTCATCCAATTATACAGGCTGTATCTGAATTCTTTAAGATCTAAGAATTTTTTTTTTCTCTAGAGTGACAAGGTCTCACCTTAGATATTCATTCATCACACAACTCCCAGAGGGACACTTGGTGTGATATGGAACATCAGGCATACCGAGGACATGACCTAATTCGTGTGACATCACTCCTACAAGAGAGACACTGTTCTTTCTCTTACCCTGGTGAAAAAAAAAAAGAAATATCTATTATTTGTGAATTTATTCAATTATTTGTTCATTATCATTGATGTTTGGTATTACAAAGAATAATAGTTTGACATGAAAATTATTGAATCATTGAGCTTCTTCCCCTGTCATTGGTTATTGTAAATTGTAGACATTTGAGACAACTGATAGGACATTGTAAACATTAAAAATGTTTACACTTCAAACATCAAAAATGACATTGTAAACATTTGAAATGATTTGCTATTGGAAATCTAACTGCTGAGCCAGTGCTCAATCCATATGGATTATTGATAAACCATGGTTAAATCATGATAATTCCATCATTCATTGTTGTTGTTTAGTTGCTAAGTGGAGTCTGACTCTTTTGTGACTCCATGGACTGTAGCCATGTAGGCTCCACTGTCTATGGCATTTCCCAGACAAGAATACTGGAGTGGGTTACCATTTCCTTCTCCAAGGGATCATCCCAATCCAGGGATAGAACCCTCATCTCCCACACTGGCGAGTGGATTCTTTACCAACAAGCCACCAGGGAAGCTCATTCTGCATGGGAAGTACTAAAAGATATCACACTATGTACTCAATTCTAAAAAATATTGCTATGATGACTATGACACTGACAGTGTTTGACCATGTGACACTGACATGCACTTTGTCCAACCTCCCTGGCCATAGATACTAGCGACGATTAATTTGAAGTTGCCTCAAATCCCAGAGGACACCTGGATTCTGTTTTTGTTTTGATCTTCCTCTTCTAACTCCCTAACATCAACTAAAGAGTGAAACCTCTGGGAGGGTCAATGTAAAGAGATATTCTGTTTCATAATCCAAGGAATCCTCAGTGTAGTGATCTACTAATTCAGGTTCATTTCTACTTTTATTTACTGATTCAGCAAATGTACATTGTGCTAACTCTAAATAAGACATTGTGCTTGTCTTCATACAGGTTGTAGAACCTCAAGGAGCTATATGTTTACAAACCTCAATAACAGCAACGGACGATGGGGTGCACAAGGAATTCGAGGTCGCCAGTCCTGTAATTCGATCTTTGAAGCCAACTCCACTGTGTGAGAATTACAGGTATGTTGTCACAATCTGAGTCTTTTGAACCATCAGCTTCTGTCAACTCTGTCTGAGACTTCCCTAGTTCCCCTACACTTTTCATATTCATGAGGTCCCAGAAGAGCCACTGCTATTCTATAACATTAGAATGACCACAGATGGTTATCCCACATCCAAGAGTCAATTTTAGTGATCTGACATGGGTCTGCAACAATCCCACAGGTGAGTTGCTAATAACAGAACTTTAGGCTCTCTGATCACTGAACAGGGAGGTAGAATTGAACAGGAATCTCTGCCAAGAAACCTTTGGGATAACTATCTTCTCTGTCAAAATAGTCCTGGCCCTGGCCAGTGTGTGCTTACCTGAGTAGCTGAGCATGGTCATGGGTCTTCATTTTTCCCAGGTTAGAACGATGCCAATTCAGAAATTTGTTAAAGGTGGCACGTGTGTTGTGTACCACCTTTATCTTGTCACCATTAGACCATATTTCCATACCTACCAAGGACACTTGAACATCTATGGTATTGTAAATCTGAGGGAAGAACATTTTTCATCATGAAAATGTTTGATATTTCTTTTTTAAAAAAATTATTGAAGTATAGTCAATTTACAATGTTATGTTAATATCTGATGTAGAGCAAAGTGACTGAGTTTTGTTTGTTTTCAGTTATACCTATGTATATATATAGATGTCAAGCAAGTGTATGCTCCTCGATTTTGTCTCGTCACAACAAAGATTTGGAGTGACGGACATTAAAGCCCTCGGCACTTCACATCTTTAGGGTCTTGGACATACTGTGTTATAGCTCTCAGGTCTTGAACACATTGTGCTATAGCTCTTGGACAAATCAGCATTACAGCTCCGTGTTACAGCTCTGATTTATTTAGATACTAGCAGGAAAATCCATCTTCGAGGCGTGAGGGCTTGTTGACTCAAAGACGCGAAGAGAAGATCGCCCCAGCATGCGGGAGAGAGAGAGAGAGAGACCCCCGGCCCTTTGGCTTCTCTTTTTATATGTTTCCCCCACCCCCAACTCCCGGGCCTGTCCTATATAAATGGGGCTAGCCAGGAGTGTTGTTTGTTCTCCTGAGGTCCTCACTCCGGTCCTCGGGCCTTCCTTTGTTGTATTTTTGCAGGCTTTTCCCTTCCTTCTCTTTTAGCCACCACCATTCTGGACTCCTGTTTTCTATTCTAACTATCTAACATATATATGTTCTTTTTCATTCTTTTCCATTATGGTTTATCCTAGATATGTAGTTCCCCATGCTATACAGTAGAAAAGATTTATTTAGTTTTTTTTTTAGATATTTCATCGATTGTAAGTGGTGGATAAATGTATCCCATTTTGAAAACAGAAAACCTAGAAGTTGCCTTTCCTACAGTATACAGTGATTTTACCTTGATGTTAATCCTTGTCTACCAAATTTCTCCAAACTGCGGACTTTAAGCCATTGTAATTCTCCCAATTCTTATTTGCTTAAAATATAGAAAAGCCCTAAACTCCTATGTGGAAACGTATGTTTATAGAACAAATATCTTACCACATTGAGCAGGTTTATCACATCAAACACAAGGCTTCTTATCACAGTTATATTCTCATTATACATCTTATACTGTAAAATACAAAATGCAAAGAGTAATTAAAATCACAAATTAAAGTGAGAAAGCTGATGGGGATTTTATAGTTTAAGAAAACTTACACATTTCAATGTAAATAAATGTCTGTTCATTCCACATCTACCTTATCTAAGAATCTGTTTTAACAAATTCTATTTCAAATGTAAGACGTTTTTTGCAAAAGAAAACTTAAGCATTCATATAAAATATCAATTCAAATTAAGTTGAATAAATCATATTAGTTTTAATGTTTTCAAACCAATTTAATATTTTTAAAATTTGGTTATGAAGCATAAATTCTCATATATTATAATATATAAATGTAATTAATAAATTATATATAATTTTATATCTATTTTATATTTACATGTTATAGTGAGAACTTTAAAAATATATTAATAACTAACTCTTTTACGTTTCTAGTTATTGTGGTTGTTTTACTGTTGCTATCTGCCATTAGTATATTTCCCATATCTGAATATTTTGGCAGCAGATGAATTTTAAAAGAGCAGGAGTGAATGAAAACTATTTCTGACGTGGTAGGTAGAACAGATAAGACAATCATGTGGACAGGCTTTGTATTTTTCATGAGAATAGTTTATTGTTTGCTTCTGCTTTATAAGAAAACTGAAAAGCTGACTTAACTACCCAAGAAGTGTTCATTTCATACTCACAAAAGCATTATCCAGCACCAAAAACAGATCAATGTATTTCTCAGCATGAAGAAATTCTTCTACCTTAATGAAGAATGAAAGAACATTGTTGATAATATCTTCAACCTAAGAGATTAAAAAGCTTACAAAAAGATTTATTTATGTATTTTCCTTCAGAGGAAAAGTAAATTGAAGAATAAGTAAATAAGGGTTGGACTTTACTCACACAAGCCATTTCTGGATACACCAGTATTTCATGCATCATTACTGGGTCAGTTGAAATGAATGATGGTGGGAAACTACACTCACCTCTGGACTTTTGAGTGACCTTGAGGTTCGAATAAGGTCCTGTTTCCTGCCAACGTTTCTTACACTGCAGGTGTGATTAGCTGGGTTGAGCTCCTCCTGGTTGTATGTGAGTACAGCGTGTTCTTCTTGGTCTGTGCTTTTCAGAGGCTTTATCATGTATCTTTGATCATGATGTGTGAAATAGCCCCTGTGAGACACAGAGGTTAGTATTTCAAGATTTTTCTGCCAGAGTCGCACCCGCTGGCCAGAATGAAGGTATTCCTCTCCCTCAATGCCAAGTTCACACATGGTTTTCATTCATATGTCTTGCAGCTAACTTTTGCTAATTTAAGTTATAATCAGTGTCTGCCAATACAAAAATAGATCCTATTTTAATTACCCAGGGCATTCTGAACAAGAAGTACTAAGATGAAGCTATTCCCCCAAATTTGAAATTTACACCATGAGCTCAGTAAATATTTGTCCATAGTTTATTTTCACATTTAGCAAATATTTCTTGGCAGATCCTAGGAATATAAGGGAGAATGTAGTAAAGGAGTAGATACCTTTCAGAGGATATCTTGCAAAGGAGTAGATATCTTATAGATACCAAGAACCCCAAAGAGAAAGACTGATAAGCAGATCAGCCAGAGGAACAAGTTGGAACTAGTAGTAACTTAAAGATTTTCTCTTCTTAGAAGGAAAATTAATTCAGAAATACATAGTGAAACTGTATGATGAAATATTAGAAAGCCAACACAGCTGTTAAAAAAATTACATCTACAAAAGCACTGTATGATATGGGAAAAAGGCTTTTGATGTCATGTGGTATGTCTCATGTTGGACAAAGAATCATGTATTTTACTTTACATTTCAATCATATAAATGATATTTTTGTTTATCTGTATAAAAGACTGAACTGTGATCAAAAACTAATAATAGTGATACTCAGAGGTAAAACTTTTTGGTGGTTATTTTCTTATTTGTGTTTTCTCACCCTTTACAAATTTTCCCTAACTGGCAAGAATCACCTTTGTAAACAGAAATACCACACAGATACACAAACACACTCATACACACAAACTTCTAAAAATTATGTTTAACGTGACAACTGCAGGGTAGCATCTTTAAGAAAATAAAACAGATGGTTTCAGGGAATGAAGGATGGATGGATAATAGATATGAAAGTGAGTCCAGATGTCATCATGCTCCCGAATATAGTACTTGTTTAAAAATTGCTAACTCTAACTTTGACTAGAAGTGCAGATAATGATAATTGCAAAGATGATACATTATTCTTCACTTTAACCATGTAGATTCAGCATTTTATCAATGGAAACAATTTTGCCAAAATAGTAAGAAGAGATGGTGTCCAGGAAGACTCAATATTGTGCAACAAAATAGTGCTTGATGTCTAATATTTTTACAAGTTGTAGCTCACCTCAATCCATCACAAGTACTAATGCTGGCAACAGAGTCCTTTTCATTTAGGATGTGTCCTTTATAGTAGCAGTGTTCCTAAGGTTGGGGAAAAAAATTTTAACTACAAAAATAAATATATCACAGTTGTGTTGAAAACTTATCTTGAATATGTTCTTCAAATAGTGGCTGTGACCAGACTAGCTCCCACAAATAAAAACATGGAGAATCTCAATAGTTTTATGGACCTCTCCATCTATGACCTTGGGAACTCTCCATATTTGGTGGTTGAGCTGTCTTTGTGACACTAATTCACACTAAAGAAAAGTCCAGGAAATTTGAACCTAAATGGACTCATGGCAAGAGTAGACATGCAATGGAGAAGTAACCAGTTGCTTTATGTGGTCTATAGCACTCCCTAGGAACTCTCATGTTTGAGTGCCAACTTTGGAGAATTTAGTATCTCTGTGCAAGCTCCACTATGCATTACATATCAATAAAATGATGTATTCATTTTTCTAAATTCTAGAGTCCTCAAGAGGTCATACCACCATGTCTGAGACCCTGTGATTTATGGGTCAAATTCACTTTTTTTTTTTTTAACTGGTGTGTTAGTGGTAGCCCTGTATCAGCCTCAAAAGCCCAGAGAGTTTGTCTATTACTAGAGATTCAGACTGGCTTCCTGGGTGACTCAGAGGTAAAGAATCTGCCTGCCAAGCAGGAAACACAGATTGAATCCCTGGGTTGGGAAGATGCCCTGGAGAAGGAAATGGCATCCCACTCCAGTATTCTTGCTTGGGAAATATCATGGATAGAGGAGTTTGGTGGGCTAGAGTCCATGGGGTCACAAAGAGTCGGACACGACTGAGTGACTAAACCACCACACAGAGATTCAGATATGTTGGCACTTCATATGAGCAAAGTAGGGGGTCACTTGTGTAGAACAGGCCAAGAAAGCTAATGAATAAACTCTTGTTCAAAACAAACTGACTTTCTTCAGGGTCTGACATTCCATCTGTGTCTTTCTTGCCTTTACAAGAAACCTTGTCATTATAACATTTTCATTATAACAATGTCATTGACATTTTCTTGTAGACGAGCTGGAAAAGGTACCACATTAAGATGTCACTGGCCATTCACACTTAAGTATGAGCTAATTTATCAGATACTTTCCCCAAAGGTCAATGTTAGCAAAAATCCAGATGCCCTTGAAATAAGAAAGTAAGAAGGGAACAAAGGGCCATTCTGTGGCCAAAGTCTTGTTTGTTTTTTTTTTACAGAGACATAGATGTATGGGACACCATGGACGGTGGCTCTGAGAAATGCTCTAGCTTGATAATACTCATGACTGAGCCTTTTTTTAAACATTAACTTTATTTATTTTTAATTGAAGGATAATTGCTTTACAGTATTGTGTTGGTTTCTGCCAAACATCAACATGAATCAACTATAGGTATACATATGACTGAGCCTTTTTATATTCTCTTCCTATTCTCTTCTTGGCCTTGATCCTCTATGTCTGACACCTACACCTTGGCATGATTTCTATGATGGTGGTTTAACTGGATAAAAATTTTTATTAGATAAATAATTGATATACCATTGTGAATCTCAGGATAAATGCATTTACCACTAGAAAATAGTAAATAGTGACATAACATTTTGAGTACCTAGGAGAGAATATTTCTAACCTGGTGATAAAATGGTTTAAGGAAAAATAGATTTTTAGTTTCTTCTTAAAATGCAACACTTGAGGGACTTCCCTGGTGGTCCGGTGGTGAAGAATCTGCCTTGCAATGCAGAGGTTGTGGGTTCACTCCTTGGTCAGGGAACTAAGATCCCACATGCACCACAACAAGAGATTCCAGGCACCACAATGAAATACTGAGCATGATGCAGTGAAGATCCTGTGTGCCACAATTAAGATCCAACACACTCAAATACATGAATATTTTTAAAAAAATTTTTTAATGCAACACTTGAGAGCCTCCTACTACTTCTATCTTTTAAAAAAGATATAAAAAAGTAAAAAATAAAAAAGATATAATTCTTTTTTTCACCTGTTGTCTCCTTGGTCATAGATGAGCCCCTTGCTTTCAAGTCCTTTGATTTTTTTTTTTTAAGTTGACCTTGGACTTATGAATCTCATTTAGTAAGCAGCTGATCCAAGTTAAGAGTCCCAGAGAGCATTCAGACCTACCATGTTCTGAGGTCTTGTGGTGATTTCTTCTCCACCGGGTGAGTAATATGTTTCAGTGTAGTCTGGTCCCAGGAGATGCCTGTAGAGAGCAGAAAGTTGAATACTCTCATGGTGACAATTAAGACAATATCCCTGATCCAATCTTCAGCACTAAAGGAATGATAATGTTTATGGTGAGAAAGAGCTGACTTTCTGATGCACTGATCCTTTTCTAATATTGTGAGTCTGCTCCTGAAGCAAATCAAGCATTCAGTTATATCTCTTAGATCTGAGGAAAGAAATGTCTTCCAATACTTTACTAACACAGAATTCAGAGAGTGATTTTTCTAACTTCAAATATATTATTGGGATTCTTTGCACCAAGAACACAGCCTCTAAGCAATCTCAGAAGGATGTTGGGTCACAAGTACACATCAAGGACCACTGCATTCAGGGAGAAGTTTACTGATTATTATAGAACTTGGTGGAACCCTATTCCCTGAGATCTATCTCAAGGCTGTGTACCCTGAATGAGCCTTAGATATAAAAGCAGAGACTTTACTTTGCTACCAAAGGTTTGTCTAGTCAAAGCTATGGTTTTTCCAGTAGTCATGTATGGATGTGAGAGTTGGACCATAACGAAAACTGAGTGCTGAAGAATTGATGATTTTCAACTGTGGTGTTGGACTTCTCCCCTAGAGAGAGTCTCTTGGATTTCAAGGAGATCAAACCAGTCAATCTTAAAGGAAATCAGTCCTGAATATTCATTGGAAGGACTGATGCTGAAGCTGAAACTCCAATACTTTGGCCACCTGATGCGAAGAACTGACTCATTTGAAAAGACCCTGATGCTGGGAAAGATTAGGGGCAGGAGGAGAAGGGGACGACAGAGGATGAAATGGCTGGATGGCATCACCAACTCGATGGACATGAGTTTGAGCAAGCTCTGGGAGTTGGTGATGGACAGAGAAGCCTGGTGTGCTGCAGTCCATAGGGTCGCAAAGAGTTGGACATGACTGAGCGAGTGAACAAATCTGAGCTGAAGTGATATATCAAATGGATAACTAATGAGAACCCACTCTATAGCACAGGGAACTCTACTCAATGCTCTGTGGTGACCTAAATGGGAAGGAAATTAAAGAAAGGGGTTATACATATACGTGTAGCTGATTCACTTTTCGTACAGTAGAAACTAACATGATATTTCAAAGAAAATATACTCCAATTAAATAAAAGTACTGGAAAGTCACATCAAAGGTTTGAGTTTATCTGGGTAAAATATGTTTGCAGCAAATTCCAAAATTACCAAGGAAGAAAGTTGTTTGTGCAGCTTCCTTTGTTTTATACTTTGCATATAATTTGCTAGAGAAACATTAAGCTTTTTCTATAATATTAATACAAACTATTAGCATCTAATGCTCAATATGTTTCATGTCTTCTTTGTGAAATTATACTATATAGAGTTTCAAGATTTATTTTCCTACATTTTTTAAGAATAATCCAGTGGTTAGACTTGCAGAAAATACAACTTACTCAGCTTTTTGTAGGGAAAGAATGATTTCTTCTCCATTTAACATCATCTGATATTGAAGTTCAGGTTCATATCTTTCCTAAAGATATTTAATAATATAATGATAATTTACATTTCTGAATCTATCTAAAATAATTATAATGATATAGGTAGCTGTACAGAATGATAATTACAAATGCATGTAAGATAAAAGCAGTTCTCATGCTTCTAAAATATGTAAAAGGAAACACAAATTTTACACCAAAATAGATTTCCAAAAAGTACAATAAATAATACAGATTACACTCACTCTAATATGTAAGATATGGATTTATCATTTGCTGTAACATATGGTATACAGTGACTGACTGATGGTATACAGTTCTGTACCCTAATGGACCCTAATAGGGTAATAATAAGGCATATATTTTTACTGCTTTAAAGCTAAACCAAATATACTAAAAAAGCTAAAACAAAAGCATACTAAAAATTAAAATAAAAATTATAAAATGAGGAAAATATTTGCAAAAATGTAATAGTCAAAGAGTATCTTCAACACAGTAAAAAAAAAATCTTGTAAATTAATGAGATAATTTTATCTCATTGAAATGGCTGCCATTCCTGTCTTCCTTTATTTTGTTCTCCCCACAAACTTGGAGAAATGTCCAAGCTGCTTTATTCTTTCTGATCTGATTCCTTACTGCTGCTTCAGGGCAAAAGCATTTAAAGAAAACCTATGCCCTCTCCAGGGCAAAGGGGAGCTTTTGTATAAATGGATTTCAAAGTTAAACTATTAGATGTTGACTGTGACATCACTTCTAGTAAAAGGTCCTTTACTGTCTCATTAGATGACACCATGATCAATCTACTGCTTACCTCTTCGCCATGCTTCTCTGTTTGGTTATTCTGTATCTCTCTTTTGTGTAAAATGTGTAGTTTCTTAGGATGAACTACTTCATACAGTTCTGATTCAAGTGTTTGTCTTATGGTCATTGCTAGAGAAAGAGACATAACATTGATATAAAATATGTAAATTTTTTTGTTGACTGGTTTGTTGAAATAGCGTGGAAGACAATTCCCATTGAGAAGAGAAACACTAAGAAGAATAATTTCCTTCTTCTACCTAAGCTTTGATAACAAAGAATTTTTCTTTAGCTTTCTCTCCCTATCCTGGAAAGACACGACAATGATGAAATAATTCTTTGAAATTGTCAGTATATTAGTGCTTACCTTGAGTCTGAATGATGAGCCAGAGGATGGAGAGCAGAACCAAAGACATGTTGGTACTGCAGGTAGCTGAGAAGTCCTACTCAGCACAAAGTTGTGATCTCCCCACTTGTCCAGTTTTATCTCCCCTACTTCACTGGCCAGCTTTATCTGCCCCCTACTTCTCTTTACAAATTGAAAAAAAAAGTTTTAAAACCCTCAAGCCTTCTTTGGAAGTTTAGGGAATGTTTCCTAATGGCTTTGGAAAGTTGCCAAGATATTGCACTGTCAAGGTCATGAGAATGTTCCTCATTTCTGAGAGGTATTTATGTCTGTGGTTACATCTTGTTAAGGACTCACATCTGGGCAACTGCTTGGCCCTGGTGCTTCAATAGCATGAGAAAGTACCTAATGAGACTGAGATATCTGTATATATATTTGCACACACATTTAATTCAGCCATCACTCATGCTTTTCAGTAATCTTATAGAAATTAATCTATATATTTAAAAAATCTATCAGTCTGTACATGTTTTGAAAAAGTGTGTGCTGATCTTCTGGACTAGCAAAAGATATAAATGCTTATAGAGAAAACTTAAATTGAGGGAAAAATAGTTGGTCACCCAATGGCCCAACATTATATTTCTTTGATTTCAGATGACTTACTTCAGATAAAATGCTAGAAACAGTATTATTTAGCAAAAAAGGTAAAACAAAGTGAGATTCTTGGTATCCATTGACCTGGTATTTCTCAGAGTTAACTCTAAATTATATTCCTATTATTAGAGTTTTCCCAATCTAAAAATCTATGCTCTTTAACTACTGAGTTTATTTTTTACTGATACATTTGGGAGTTTGCAAGCATCAGATTGTAAGTTTTATAGCAATCTCTCCATGTCTATGCTTCTCTTTGTTTTTCTACATTCTTTGGAGTCATTTAAGTTTTCCATATAATTTTATTTATCTTTTGTGGTCTAGAAGATCAACATTCTACATGTATCCTATAGTATGCATGCATGCATGCTAAGATGCTCCAGTTGTGACCGACTCTGTGCGACCCCATGGACAGCAGCCCACCAAGCTCCTCTGCCCGTGGGGCTTTCCAAGCAAGAATACTGGAGTGGGTTGCCATTTCCTTCTCTGATTTAATCACTAAGTCATGTCCAACTCTTTGGAACCCCATGGACCTTAGCCCACTAGGCCCCTCTGTCCATGGGATTTTCCAGGCAGGAATATCAGAGTGGGTTGCCATTTCCTTCTCCCATATCCTATAGTAGTTACCACTAAAATTTAGCAAAATGAAATCTTAATAACATCTAACTACCATCAAATAATACAAGACCCTGAAACAGTGTAGCCCTTCTCAGCATCCTGTCCCTAGCCACCTTACATGTTGTAAGGTGTTTTAATTCCACCATGATTTCATCCCCTGGTCATTATAGTTAGTTCTGTGTTTTATACAGATGCTATTTGAAATTACTTGTAAGAATACCATCTTCTTTTCTCCAAGGTTCTTTTTTGTAAAACATATTTTCTAACAAATCATCTCTTTTAGAGTAAACAGTACTGTGTTTTAAAATTCTTTCCCAGGAGACTATATTTATTTCACTATATTCTTTAATGGTAGTTAGGTGGGAATACAGTTTTAGGATGACAATAAATGTATCAGCATTTGGGAACTATTTTACTGTTTTTTGGGGGGGCAATTCGTATTACTGTTGAAAATTCTTTCAGACTATTAAATAACAAATTATTATTATTTTGCTATTTATACAAATAATAGGGCTTATCAGGTGGTGCTAGTGGTGAAAGTACTTGCCTATCAATGCAGAAGACATAAGACATGCAGGTTCGATTCCTGGATTGGGAAGAGCTTCTGGAGGAGGGCATGACAATCCACTCCAGTATTCTTGCCTGAAGAATCCCATGGACAGAGCAGCCTGGTGGGCTACAGTCTATAGGGTTGCAAAGAGTCAGACTCGACTGAAGCAACTTAGCAGCAGCAGCATACTGCTAATTTCAAGATAAATTAAATATTTATTGAGATCACATTAATTTGAGTTTACACTAAATTAATACCACATTTCTGGGCATTTCAAGATGATCTTGATACTAACCTTGAAAATGAAAGTGTAAGTTTTTCAGTGGTTTCCGATTGAACACCAGTTCTCCCGGATTGAACCACCAGGGAAGCCCAAAAATATTGGAGTGGGTAGCCTATCCCCTTCTCCAGCAGATCTTCCTGGTCCAGGAGTTGAACTGGGTCTCCTGCATTGCAGGTGGATTCTTTACCAGCTGAACTACCAGGGAAGCCCAATGGTATCCTTAGTATTCCTATAATAAAGTCTAATAATAGAGATTAATCTACAAATAGATACAGTTTATGCAAATGGTAAATATTGTGACCGAGGCTTGTGCATTATATTCAGGTAGATTTTAGGATACATCATTTGGTGTGGGGGGTGGGGGTGGGTGCAGGTGGGGGGAGAGAGTCAGAATATTATTAGCTAGGAAAGAAATAGTGGAAGGAGTATTCTGGTAAGAGAAAACTAAGTGAGAAAAGCCAATGGATATGTAGAAAACACAAATGTTTGTGTAACTACAGTCCATTTCCATGACTTGAATACAGCATACAAAGTAAGTATCCGCCCCACTCTGGCATTCTTGCCTGGGAAATCCCATGAACAGAGGAGCCTGGCAGGCTATGATCTACAGGATTGCAAAGAGCTGGAAACAACTTAGCGACTAACCAACAAAAAGCTTATGGAGAGACAAATATTAAAGGCCTTAAAGACAGTGGTGCATATTGGTACATATCTTAGAAATAGTTAGCTCATAAAATTATCACATTTGCTAAATGATTGGATGTAGCAACTAAGGGTATAGAAAAGTCTTCAATGATTTTTATTTTTATTTTTTTGTCCATGGAATTATTTTATTTTATTTTATTTTATATTGTAGTGGTTTTTGCCATACATTGACATGAATCAGCCATGGATTTTTAAGGTGAAGTTTGAGCAACTGTATGAATTTTACAGATGTCGCCTTCCAATTTGGTTAGTTAGTGGGAGTTGCAGTTTAGTTAAAACTCTTAAAGGCAGGATGTATAAATCCTGGTGTGTCCTTCGGGAGCACAGTACCCTGAAGATAACAGATATTTGAAAATATGGATGTTCAGTGAAAGAAGTTTGTTAACTGCACTATCTGCCTGAGATACTGGAGAAGGCAATGGCACCCCACTCCAGTACTCTTGCCTGGAAAATCCCATGGACCGAGGAGCTTGGTAGGCTGCAGTCCATGGGGTCGCGAAGAGTCGGACACGACTGAGCGACTTCACTTTCAGTTTTCACTTTCATGCATTGGAGAAGAAAATGACAACCCACTCCAGTGTTCTTGCCTGGAGAATCCCAGGGACGTCGGAGCCTGGTGGGTTGCCGTCTACGGGGTTGCACTGAGTCGGACACGACTGAAGTGACTTAGCGAGATATTGATGCTGTTTGTTAAGAGAGTTGAGTATCAGTCTATAAATTAAAGCTGGGGAAATAACAGTGAAGGGATTGTTTACTTAATGCATCTGGAGGGAATGAGGAATGATATATACATGTACCATTCTGAATAAAATATCCAAGGAATTACTAAACATAGGGCTTAATTTATGATGATAAAACTAAGAAATCATGGCAAATATCCTGACCACAGAGAATTTTGTTCCCATAAAAATCAACAACTTAACAGTAATTGGAAAGTTTCATGATAAAGTATACTTGATGTTTAGAGAAGTTGTTTAAATACTGTTTAACTAGAAATAAAACAGCAACATGAATAAAAATGACAAAAATCCTTTAAAATGTAAATATTTTGCATGCATTCTTTTATTTGGTAATTGTAATAGATTTAAATCATTGTTTCAAAGGTTATGATTCCCAATTTATAGATGACTCAAAGATACTTAGTACAAATCATCCAGAAGGTATGTAATATCTGTCTCTTAAGTCACTGACATCGAAGAGTTGCTTGATATGAGAACTAAAGTATTTCAAATATTGTATTGAGGGAGATATCCATGATGGCTTCAGTTGCTTCAAGGAAGAAGTCTATTTTTAAAATATGAGAGGATAGTAATTAGTGGGTTGTGTGAGAGGTTTGAGATGAGAAGAGAGGGTTTAGAATAATTAAACATAGGGGTTGATACATATACACTATGGATATTATGTATGAAATAGATAACTAATGACAATATACTGTATAGCACAGGGAAATCTACTTGGTGTACTCTGGTGTCCTGAATGGGAAGGAAGTACAAAAGAAGGGGATATATGTATATGTGTACGTACATGTATGGGGTTCCCAGGTGGTGCTAGTGGTAAAGAACCCACCTGCCAACGCAGGAGATGTGAGAGACCCAGGGAGATTCACTCCCTGGGTCAGGAAGATCCCCTGGAGGAGTGCAAGGTAGCCCACTCAAGTCTTTTGCTATAATTAAAACCTATTCATACTCTTCAACTAAATAACAACTATTTCTCCCCCAGATATAAGAATTCACCTGGCTCTCATAGTCCTTACTCTTTCCCAAGTCCTACATTGTGTTGATATTACCTAGACTTCAGTTCAGTTCAGTTCAGTCTCTCAGTCATGTCTGACTCTTTGCGACCCCATGGACTGCAGCACACCAGGCCTCCCTGTCCATTGCCAACTCCTGGAGTTTACGAAAACTCATGTCTATTGAGTTGGTGATGCCATCCAACCATCTCATTCTCTGTCATCCCCTTCTCCTCCTGCCTTCAATGTTTCCCAGCATCAGGGGCTTTTCCAATGAGTCAATAATTCACATCAGGTGACCAAAGTATTGGACTTTCAGCTTTAGCATCAGTCCTTCTAATGAATATTCAGGACTGATTTCCTTTAAGATGGACTGGTTAGATCTCCTTGCTGTCCAAGGGACTCTCAAGAGTCTTCTCCAGCACCATAGTTCAAAAACATCAATTCTTTGGTGCTCAGTTTTCTTTATAGTCCAACTCTCACATCCATACATGACTAGTGGAAAAACCATAGCTTGACTAGATGGATCTTTGT